TCACACTTATTTGCATTTACACTATGTAAGAAGGAACATATGCATTGTAAGTTTCTTTTTTTCTCTGGTTGTAAATGTATTGTATCATATGTTTAATTTTTGGATAATAAAGCACATCTTAATATATTCAATGTCATGATGCAGATATAAATTTAAGTTTGATTCCTACACTGGTAGAGGACAAATATTATCCAAATCATGTCCATACATAGATGAGGGATATAGATAAATACAACATATCAAAAGACATCAAAATTGACACTCATAAACCAGATCTGAACAAATACTTCAATGAGCAAAATCATCAGCCCCCTTAATCCATCAACCCACCATATCTAAATTAATCCATTAACCATTGCAACGTTGAGTAGTAGGAGGAAAAAAAAATCTCAGCAGGACGTCGCCCCATTCAGCCACATACATCGTCGCCGGACGGTTGCCTGCACCACCAAGACCCCGCCGCCCCCGCGGCCAAACCCTGTCGCCTGCATGGCCACGCCGCCGGACGTCGCCGCCCGAGCCGCTGAACCGGTTTGCCGCCTGCGCCATAACCGAACGCCGTCGTCCGCGCGGCCGCCCGCGCCGCCGAACCCTGCCCCGCGGCCCCGCCTTGACATCCTTGGCGCCCTCTGTTACAAAATCCTCAAATCTTCATGTCCTCCTCGCGAAGCCCATCACCATCACAGCCGAGTTTATTATACACTTGAACCATTGTTTTTCAATTAAATCAACGGTTTAAGTCAACCCATATTGGCTATGTTTTGGTGATAAAGAATTACAGAAAAATTACATATTTGACCCATATTTATTTTCAATATATTAATATATGCATGCATCATTTTTTTCAGGCCTCCCCTAAATTAAAGAAACCCTGGAAATTTTTCTCGACAAAGCAAAATATAAGTATAATTTTGGGAGTGACTATTAGTCAGTTGCCTGAAAAAAAAATAATTATCAGTCGATCTCTATGTATCGTCCGATCCCATCCAATATCTGATCCCGCCAGGATAAAAAAAAACAGGTAAAACATCTTGAACCATGGACCGCTTATCATCGTGAACTGGTTTTCGGATCTACATTGTTCGATCGGTTCGAATCTTTTGTGTTTTTTATGCTGGTTATTGATTTGGCTGGAGTTTGTTTCGTGCTCTTTTGTTCCATTTGTATGTGCCGAGCCCTTAGCAATTTAGAAGTTATAGTGTAATATGCCTAGCCCTTAGCAGATTCAGAAGTTATAATGTAATACGAGGTCTTTTACGGTGACCTAGACACAGGATCAAATGCAAACAAGCAGTTTAATCTTATAGTGTACTACGCCTTAAACAGCCCATGGGACTAATACAAATCATACAAGCTTGACATTATACACGAAACAACCACAAGAAAAAAAATAGAAATGAAACATTCCCCAAAAATCAACAACTTGTACTAAACAAAACATTAGTTCTTATTAGAGACTCACTGCAATCCCAAAGAATAATTATTTACCAACTTCATCAGACCCAGGCATAGAGCAAATAAAATATAACAATGGAGATCACAGTAAATATTTCATTAGATGCACACTTGCTTCAAGTTGGGTTCGCATCCCCTGCCTTTGAGGCCAAAGGCAAAGTTTGCCGTTGCTGCCATCCAGCACATCCATTTCCTATTCAACGATTGCATGTTTTTTTCCTCAATTTAAGGATGATTAACAGCCAATTAGTTGATAAAATCAATTATGCTGGACCAATTTAAAAGATAATTAATTGATTAATATTGCTAAAAAGAAATCTACGTTTACTCACACCATGTCAAAACACCATGTCAAATCAACATTTATAGAAGATGCAAACTTTTTTCCCATGTAGCCTTTTCTGAGGATTAGCTGTCTATTACTTTTATTTTTACAAATCAACGAAATATAGTCTTGTACAATGAAATTATTTCCTTGAATGAACAGATACCAAATGGTTTCAAAATATAGTTTTTATCTTTTTTTTCTTGATATTCTTTTTGGAGAGTAAATTCTATCACTAAATAGCAGGTACTAGTTAATCACGGAAGGGGTCTAAACCATGTAATGGTTGATCACAGAATGAAGGGTGTGGATGGCTGTAACGGCAAACTTTGCCTTTGGACTCAAAGGCAGATGATGTGAACCCCCTCTACTAACCGATACTAGACGAGAAGCCTGTAACTGCTTGCAGTTAGTACTAATTAATCCATAAATTCTCCTCGCCTAACAATTGGAGGCCCCTCAACTTCTCTTCTGTAAATTAAACCATGGTAGCTGAGAAGCCTGTAACGACTGAAAATACTGATATCTCAAATACCGAATTTTGGGTATGCTATCTTGTATTTTATTGGGCCACGTGGCAACATATATTTTCAGCTAGACCCCATCCCGAAATCTGCCATGTGTTCTCATGAGGGTCTCTAGCAGTTTCCATCCAATGTGCTAGAGCCAGTGCACCTACAGCCTGTAGGCTACAGGTCACATATACTACTAGAGCTTTAGAGCACTAGACAACCAGCGTACAGGTGAAGTGTCTAGAGAAAAATTAATGAGTTAAATTACTTGGCTCCTGGAGAATATAAAGGGGCAACTCCTTTATGGCAATTTTAAGGGTGAAATTAATCCCCTTCAATCCCTTTTTCATTGGAATTAAGCAAATAAGGCCTAAACAATTTTTACTCCATCTCAGTTTGATCAACCCCTTATCAAAAGGCGTCAAAGACCAAAGACACCAAAGCATTTAACATTCTGAAATTAATCCTAATCGATCAAGATGTTCTGTCACTTTGTGTCCAACAGAAAGCTAGTAATTCGCTTGCATAGGTTGAACAATATAAATTAATCCTAGCTGGTTGTATACATGCGTGCTGATTATTACATGATGCATATTTACTCTATGCACGAATAAATAAAGAGACACTTTGTTTTGTTTTATGATGATCATCTTTAAAAAACCTTAGGTATTTATCAAACTGGGATATAAAGAAAACCTCAAAGAGCTATATATTAGATCTGACATATCAGTTCCACCTTTTTCCCCATTATAAATCTGATTATCCACATTGCTCACAAAAATTTCCAAAAAATCGCTTTTGTTTTATCATTGGGAATAATTTCTATGTTTGCCATTTTATGTTTCTTCCAGGTAAGACGACCTTTAATTTTGAAATGCACTAATATATATATTCTTTTGCTTTATTATAATTTTATGCGATGTAGCGTAATTTCTACTTCTCTTAATGGGCCCACGGTGCGCATGTGGACATTTATTACCAAACTTTCATTTATCCATGTTTTAAGAAATAAACAACATTGTTTTTTTTTGTCAAAAAATATGTATGTGTCAGAGATATGGGCCCGGGGTATGCGAAGTGAGGGGAATTTACCTTTCCATCCTGTCGCGTGACCCTACAGCCTGGCCCTACCCCCACACCCCGCGAATCGCAGGAGTGGCCGGGGGGCCTCGGGGTGCCACGTCATGCCCCTCGGGCCCTCGTGCCGCTTTGCCCCGAGGCCCTCGCCCAGCTGCCATCTGGCGGGGGGAGCAAGCGGGGAGGGGGCCCAGGCTGAACCACCTTTAATGCGCACAGCGCCCCAACTGACCCTTGCCGCATTCAATGCGGTAGGGGCAGACGTGCGGCGTGCCCGACTGGCGTGCGTCGGTCAGGAATGACCGGTCTGTGACCGGCCTGTCGCCGGTCACGTCTGACTGGACGGACGGCCGTGCCACCACGTCGCATCTGTCTCCGGCGGAGTAGAGGTAGGTATGACCCGTTCCATCGGAGGGTCATTTGGAGCTCTCTCCACGAGAGAGCGGCCACCACAAGTCTTCACCCATTAATGAGGGAATGATAGGACTGTCCCCTGTGTCAGGCGAGAGACGGCGCTGGGCCCTACTCAAGGACGAGCTGTGGCTTAGCTTCCAGGCGAAGGCACGGGTCGATATCCGATCATGGTAGGGTGGGTCACCATCCGGTAAAAGAGTAGGTAGAGGCGGTACATGTGGTATCCCCTTGAGCTATAAAAGGAGGACCTCGCCCACCGAGAAAGAGGATGACTCTCAAAAAACTGAGCTCTAGGAGAAAAGAAGCGAGAACGCTCTCCGGAGTTTAGGAACCTTTGTAACTCTCAACCTAAATCCCACGCACAGGAGTAGGGTATTACGCTTCATAGCGGCCCGAACCTATATAATCTTGTCGCGTACACGCTGCCTAGCAGCCTTCAGGGCGGATACGTGATTTCTAGAGGCGAGCTCTTTCCCCCGGCCGAACTCACAAAGGGGGATACCACGATCTCCCGCTAGAGAGGTTTACGCCTCGACAGTATGACTTTGGTAAGAATTTTCGAAAACCTTAAATAATTCATAATATCAAAATAAGCAATTAAAAGTATTACATGGAAAATGACTATATGCGATTGCATTTTTTTTTGCATAACAAATATCACCATGAATATATATTGAAACATACCACATCACTGCAATTGGCATATACTTTATTTTTGTCATAAATAGATAAAGAAATTATATGTACCTATAAGCCCGCATCATTTATTCTCCTAATTTGATAGGAGGCCTGGTCGCAAGTGACATCAAAAGCTTGCAGTGTCCTATGATTCACATCATCTTGCGTGTTCATCCACAAGCCACAACTCCAGATGCACTCCCAACGACTGAACTAGAATTTGTTTCTCTGCTCATCCGATTAAGTCACTCTCCATGATCCCTTCCTCAGATTAATCTGTTTAGGCATATTTTACGATTATTTGCAATTTTGTTTTCCTGATCAGCCTCCTTTCTTACTTTGCAGGATTGCATCAATGTCATGTTATTCTGCATATAATATTATCTGAAGCCAGTACCTTCGTTTAACGGTATGCATTACAGTCATCTAATCTTAATCTTTTGTTTGATTACATGCATGTCATACTGCGGTTTGTGATTTTTATTCTCGGCAAAATGGACATGTCCCCGGTGATCACAGTTCTTTGTGCGTTCAGAAAAACTAGAAAGAAACACGCGCTACGCTGCGTGCGATGATGATTGTATTAACATACAACAATGCATAATAAGTATTCTCCTGCACTTTAATGTGTAAAGAGCAGTGCATAGTCAAAATCTTTCACTGCCAATGTACAAAATGCATACATGACTCATGGCCAAGCAGGCCTTTATATGTTACTGCAACCTAAAAGATGATACATCAATATAAGAACTGGGCTATAAAATGACCACCTTATATAAAAACTAAATAAATTGATAATTGCATCTTTCATGTACATATACTTGCATAGCTTAACAATTCAGACATACTGTAGATTTCTCCTGCTTCGTGGAAGAACACGGATATATCATTGTAATATCTGGAAATCCAGATGCCCACCAATTCCTGACAAAGCATAAAGGTAAAAATAAATCTATTTGTTTGGGTTAATTAAATTCAAGATGTGTCAAAATTGACTTAAGAGTCAATATAACAGATCATTAACACTGGTCATATGTAAATTGAGATATTGAGGTATATTTGAAATGGGATTTTTTTTCATAAAAAAGTATTTGTAGCTATGGTTAGGAAATACTGTAGAATCAGACTGCAAGTGGTAGAGATGAACCATGTGCTGATTTTGAACACCACCTACAACAAAAAGAAGCAATCCATGAAAATTGGTCAACTAAGATAATGTCCGCAATAGAAGGTCAAAATGACCACATAAGACATCATAATAAAGATTGGATAGGATCTATGTGTTAGTATAAAGCAAAATGAGTTAACTAAAAAGTTCGCATGTAAACCACAAAGAATGAGCTGAATAGAAGTGTACTAATTATTGCAGTAGCAACTTAAGGAGCAGCAAAAAAACCACATTTAGCTCATCAAATATTACCAAACTATTGATGATCCAATACTGAAAATGAAACTATTCCTCAGCTAATCGGTCCTGCAATGCAACGCAAGAAAAACCTAATCCAATAACTCCTAATAAATTAGATAATATGTTTTAAGTTTTACTAATGATGAATTAGATATATTGCTGGACTTTAACATATTTTCAAAAACATGGTAAATTTATCTCCTAGAGTTGGATGTAAAGATTAAAGTTAGACTTTCTATGCAATAAGATGTACTATACAGTTCATGAACTGAACAAATTTATAGAAAGCACGACCTAGGAGGACATGACCCATGAGGTCTAGAGAACTTTTGGGTTATTCATAATCTCTAGATCAAGATTCATGGTACTAAATGTGTAATCCTCTATGTGGAAACTGCAAAATAGTCCTGGCATGTTATAGTATCCAAGAACAATTTTCGTAAACTCCTCTCGAAAAAGTAAAAAACTGAATAATTGCTATTACAGCTGAATACATAACTTGTATGTTTAGAGAATAAGTTATATAGGTGACAGAATATGTGCGCCATACAAAGAGGAGAACATGGGGAGTCCATGTGAACGGTTCAACTTAGTACTGCAAGCACTCGTGTAAACAGGTAAAACCGATCTATATAGACTACCGAGCAGAGAATGAAGAAGCACATCTAGACTTTCCCGCATGACCAAGAAGAAAAAACTGAACACAACTTGCTTCACATTTGTAATTTGGGCATGCAAAAACAAATGGTTTGCTCTAACATAGAGCAAATGTTCTAGCAGCGAGAACAATTGGGTTGCAAAGACAAAAGGAAGATCTAACATGGAGCAAATTTTATAGTAGCAAGAACAATTGGTTCGCGGAGCTAATTCAGGTAAGAATTGCTCTCAAAAACGGTAGGATTTAGCTATCTAAGGTATGCTCAAATCTGACAACATGGCTGCAGAGGCAAATTAGTAAAGATAATAATTCACATTACACTCAGTAAACAATAATTGAAGAACTTGATGGGTTTTACCTTGAATCAAAGGTTTGATGTAGGCAAGCAACCTTTAATATATAGAAGCTAAACTCTTAATAATCATGCGGAGTGAAATAAGATGTAGTGAGATAATAATATAGCTTGTTATCATGAGAAGTACTCCGTCGTATACATGGGCTGCTAGCAATCCCTGGCTGCGCCAAGCTGCCATTGCATGGATGGCCAAGCAAACCAGTTTAGCAGAGCTTGTTGTGGCACTCCGTCGCAGGCTGCATTTGCACAGCCACACATGCCTCTTGGAGAACAGCACATTCGTATGGGCTGCTAAGTAGCTTGTTCTTCTCCATATCAAAACATCAAGGAGAGCATTCCAGCGAGCAAAATGTAGATGGATATATGCACTCAACTACAAACTTTAAAATTTAAGGGATCCATTTGGGGAAAACTCACCGGGGTTGGCAGAAGTTTCTTGAGTGGATTAAGACATACGTGCTAACTCCAACTATTTGATTGTAATGAATATACAAATGATTAGGACAACAATCATATGAACACGGCCATGCCTGAACTAACAAAAGCAGAAACATATATGCGCATCTTACCTGCAACTGGTAGAAATAAAATCCAAGCAACCTATGGAGTACCAGCAGATCTTTTGCCATTAGATAGGTTGCTTTGAACCACTGCTGCAAGAAAAAAAGGGGGATCGAACCAAAAAAATGAAATCCAGCAAGATGAGAGAGAAAATTAGATGGGGAAAATTACCTGTTGTAAATGCGATGAGATCTTGCCGCAGAAAAAGAACTGATGCGAGGGGGAGGGAGCGCACTGCCACAGAGAAAAAAAAAAGGTGGAGGGCGCCGTGGGGGGATTCGCGTGCCCGTGCCTTGCCCCCATCCTTACCAAGATGTGACCGTCCTCACTGGCAGATGAGGATGGTGGCCGGTGGCGGCTCACGTTCCTCTTCTCCAGGCGGATGGATTTTTTATTGCAGATGCGGCGACCTGATTGGAAAGAGCGGCAGTGGCGGAAGCACTCTGTTCACGATTAGAGGAGGGCGACATTGCGGCGGCAGCACACGTAAGGGAAGAGGCGGGAAGGCGGTGGCGAGGCAGAGTTAAAAGAGGAGAAGAGGCGGCGACGGCTTGCATCCCCTCCACCGCGGAGGCAGAGGTGGCCAAACGGGCGGCACGGCCCGGCCCGGCACGGGCACGGTTCCGGCACGGCCCGTTTCGGCACGGCCCGCTAGGCACGGCTGATGAAACGGGCCGTGCCGTGCCGGCCCACGTGCCGAGCCGCCGGCCCAAGCACGGCCCGTGGATGGCCGGGCCGTGCCCGTGCCGGCACGGCACGCCCGCGGCCCACGGGCCGTTCGGGGGCACGGCGGCCCGTGTGCACAGTTTTTTTTTTTAAAAAAAAAAAGCAAAGGAAATGTATAAGGAAAAAAAATTAAAAATGGAAATAAAATGTTTAAAAAAAAGTAATGATTTACTAATGTTAAAAAATGAAAAAATGGTATTTAAAAAATGGAAATAAAAGTTTTTTAAAAAAGTAATGATTTGCTAATGTTAAAAAAAAAGAAAAAATGGTATTTTTTTGTTGTGTTGAAAAATTTAAAAATATAGATTGTGATTCATTATTATGAAATAATTTAAAGGTAAATCCACACTTGCGAAAATATTGCAAAAGAATTTGTTAAAAATAGTAATGACCTTTATTGATGTTTATATCATTACAGGATACAATGATACATGCTGCGGTGCTGCCTCGTTAAAAACTTTGTCATGTAAAAACTCATAGGGGAAAATGAGAAAACCATGACAAAGAAAAGAGTACAGCTCAAAGGTCAGAACTACTTCTAACAAAATTCTACTGGGGTTGGTCTGGATCCAGGTAGAGTTGCTCGAAGTGGGCGGCCAATTCTTGGTTGTCCGCAGTGTATTGGGCATGTTGTCGAGCAAGCTCCCAGTCTTTAACGCTTAGTAGCATTTCGACGTGGTCGCTGCGCAGAGTCGTCCTCCGGTCTTCGATGATTCGGCCGCATAGACTGAAGGCCGATTCGGAGGACACCGTCGACACGGGCACCGTCAACACATCCCGTGCTAGTTTTGAAAGCACAGGATATGTTATCTTGTGGTCATTCCACCACCCGAGGACGTTGAAATCTTGTGCTTCGTGGTGGATGGCGTCGCTGTCCAAATAACCGGACAACTCTTCGGCCACAACATGCGAAGAGGCGTCTCCACTTGTAGCCGACGAACTGCCACCACCTTGGATTGAACTTGAAGACGATCCACCCCAAATCCTACCCCACTGTATCTTCTTCTTACCTGTAGTGGGGATAGGAGGGGGTCTCCGCTGGCGAACTTCCTGAAACTTTACTTCATATCTTCCAAAAACCTCATATAATTTACGTCTAACCTCAGTATAAAAAGAACTATAATCTACACCTATAGTATCTCCAACAAGTGATAAAATAGCAGACAATCCCCTTAATTTACACCTAGGATCTAAAACAAAAGCAAGAGCATACAACATAGGTATATTTTTCCAATATTTCAAATATTTTTGTTTCATGTGAAAGACAGGTTCAGTTAGAACGTCATCATTTTCGTATTCTTTAAATAAAGTAGCAATTTCAAGAAGGTTGTGCAAAATTATATTAGCAGTTGGATAATAAACATGTGACAATGTTAGAGTAGAATCATAAAAAGTTTCTAGAAATTGGTAAAATTTTTGGACAATTGCCCAAACATGCTCGTTCAGTACTGAAGACCCGTCACTGTTTCTTGGGCCACCACGTGACTGAACAAAATCAGAAAGTAAACTACTATAAGGTAAAACAACTTTTAACATTAAATACGTTGCATTCCACCGATGCTCTGCATCGGTGGCAAACTTACGAGCTTCCACACCGGCCGCAATGCAAAACCTCTTCCATGCAGCAATCCGCGGGTTAGAAGCAGTTAACCACGCGATTGCTTGACGAACAGCATCGATGTGGTCACCTACCCTCTTCATGCCAGTCTTAACAATCAAATTAATTATATGACATGCACAACGCTGATGGAGTAGAAAAGATTGAGCATACACACAAAATAAAGGTTGCAATATTTCAATAGCCCTAGAATTAGCAGATGCATTATCTAGGGTGACAGCAAATATTTTATCAGCAAGATTAAATTCATTAATTACTTCCCTAATTCTTTCAGCTATGTTTTCTCCTGTATGTGAGACATCTATTAACCTAAGCCCTAAAACTCTCTTTTGTAATTGCCAATCATCATCAACAAAATGAACAACTACGCTAAGATAATCCTCTCTAGCTCTACTACTCCATATATCTGAAGTAACACAAACAGAGAAAGTACATGTACTAAACAGTTCCTTAAGTGCAGTTGCTTCCTTGTGATAAACATTCTCTAAATCTCTAGTTGATGTTTGCCTACTCACAGCTTTAAACCTAGGGTTATGAGATTGCTGAATGTAATGTTCAAAAGCAGGGGACTCCCCAAAGTTCAGGGGTAAATCTTGCCTGGCGATTAACCGGACAAGAGATTCCCGAGCAACCATGGGATCGTACTCCCAACTGCGTACCGTACCGTCTGGGTTTAGCATAAGTTGCTGCTGCCGGAGTTGTATTCCTTGCTTCTTGGCACACGACTCCGCATGGCGCTTGAGGTGACCTGTACCACCAGAAGAACGAGCAGATAAAATTTGCCTACATATTCTACAACGGGCTTTCGATACCTCCCTTCCGTCGGGGCATGTTTCCTTTATCTCGTCGAAGCTTTGCCACACACCGGAGGTTCTCGATCTCTTCGAGCCGGTGTGTGTCGAAACACTTCCGCTCGCGGTTCCGGAAAATCCTTCCGAAGCTGTCGCCTCCTGAACCGGTACCTCCTCAACGACAGCCGTATGAACCGGTACCTCCTCCACAGATGGTGGAGTTGGAGCCGATCCGGAGGTACCGTCAAACCCCGACATGTAGTTGGGGTCGAAATCACCCAAGGTGAACGACGGCGACTGGTATGGAAAGTTCGGATCCATTCTGAAAATTTAAACCGACATAAACAAATTTTCGAATATTTATTGAATTCACAAACACAATACAAATAATACACAAATTTGAATATTACTTACATCTTTCCAACCGCGAGCTCTTCAAACCTCTGCGATCAAACTGTTGAACTACGAAACTAATTTTGATTTTTGACAAAATTTGAGCAAATTTTGTCAAAATCAAAAAAAAATGCACACTTGAGAACAAAGAGAGCACTTAAAACACTTGAGAGCACAAGATGAGGAGTGTGGGATGAGGAGAAATGGCTGGGGTTCATGCCCTATTTATAGGGCGAAATTTGAGATTTTTTGGAATTTTTTCGGAATTTTTATGAATTTTTTAGCCTCCCAACGGTTATTTTCAAATTTCAACGGTCAAATAGCCGTTAGTGCCACGTGTCGCCGTCCCATTGGACCGCCGCCCGCCTGCCGCGCCTGACGGGCCGCCGCCGTGCCGTGCCGGGCCGTGCCGCGGGCCGTGCCGTGCCGGCCCGCTACAGTAGCCGGGCCGTGCCGTGCCGGCCCGCGTGCTCGGCCAGCGGCCCAAGCACGGCACGGCTAAACGGGCCGTGCCGGCACGGCCCGTTACTGTAGCAGGCCGTGCCGGGCCGTGCCTGCTACAGGTCCGGCCGTGCCGCGCGCGGCCCGTTTGGCCCGGCCCATTTGGCCACCTCTACGCGGAGGAGACCGGGGTCGCCGTAGGTAGAGGGCACATGGACGGTTAGATCGAGCCTATCGTGAGATCAGACGGAGGACGTTGGCGGGAACTGTCGCGTAGTTAATAGAAAGCGTGGGGTTTTTTCTGCAAAAGATCGGCTGACGTGGTGTGCTAACTTTTCACCGATCCTACGGGGTTTAGAGAGGTTAATATACTTACACACGTTTATTCTTTTCATTATTCGTTCCAAATTGTACTATAGAAGACAAATGTATTCCTTAGAAGAAATATAAGTACTCCTTACTATAGAGGGCTAATGTACTACATAGTAAATTATTATATATATGTTTTTCGAAGAAAATATAATTTTCGGGCTATCTTCTTTGACATCACATTTAAATTTACTGTCATGCGACTTAATTCATAACATGTTTATTCTTCTTATCATTCTACTCCCTCCGTTTCACAATGTAAGTCATTTTACCATTTCTCACATTCATATTGATGTTAATGAATCTAAACATATATATTTATCTAGTTTCATTAACATTAATATGAATGTGAGAAATGCTAGAATGACTTACATTATAAAACAGAGGAAGTATATAATTTTGGTTCCTTGAAACATTGACTAGAAAAGAAATTGGGTATTTCATCTATAGTCTTTTTTTAGGGATATGTAGCTTTTTTTTTATTTCATTTTTTTGGCAGCTATATAATTCAAATGCGGATCATGCGGATCGTACATTGGTCATATATTCTCAACAAGTTGTAAGTATATTTAACTAGATTGTTTTCACTAATATTACACATTGACAATTACTCTTTTAAGCTCGCAGCAACGCGCGGGGTATCAACTAGTTTATATTAGGAAGCAACTAACCAACCCAACACCCTATTTTTCTAGATTGAGACCATCCACTTCTGCGCCTATTTTCCTGGATCGACCAAGAGGGAAGGTTTTTCCCTGTGTGCCATTAAAAAAGATGGTGTCTGCCCTTGTGCCACTAAAAAGTTTGAGCCTCCCTTTATGCCATCGTCGAATTTTATCGTGCCCTCCACACCATTTCGTCGCTATTCTGTTTGGGTTTAACCATTTGGTAGCTCTGACATATGGGCCGGGTAGAAAAAATGTCGCTCCTGCCCTTTCACTTTTTCTTCTCCCTCGATTCCCCTCTTCTCCCTCAGGCCGCCGCCGCGCAGGCCCGACCGGCGCCCGGCCGCCGCCCAGCCGGGGCACCGTGCCGCCGTCGCCTCGGCCCGGTCGTCGTCGTCCTGATCCTCGTCGTCGGTGCGCTGTTCCTCATCCTCGGCCCGACCGGCTCCTCCAGCTTCACCATGCCGCGGATCCGCACGGAGTTCAACGAACCCGTCCACGTTGCGGTGGCGGCTCCGCCTCCGCCGCCGACGCAGATGCAAGCCGGCGTCAACACGAGCGGCGAGGAGGACAGTGGCCTCCTGCCGACAACCTCCGCCTCCGCCCTGACGGCGCGCTCGTCGTGCTCCACGTCCAGCCGCCGCCGAGCATCGCCGCCGGGCTCAACCCCGGACCCATCCCCTTCGGCGGCCCGAGTAAGCAATCTCTTGCACTCGTCTTCGCGGAAATCAGGACGGACACTTGGTCCTGTGGCTGTGAGCTGTGGTTCTTGCGAATTTTTTCGGTCGAGCTGATGGCTTCCTGGATGTGCCGCGCGGCTGATCAGGCGAGGTCGCTGGCATCACTAGTAGCAAGCATCAATAGTCCTCGCCGCCGTCGTTGTGCTGGTCCTGGCATAACTAGTAGCAAGCATTACTAGTAGCAAGCATCAACAGTCATGAACACCAGTAGCAAGCATCAATAGTCCTCGCCGCCGTAGTTGTGTTGGTCGTCGTCGTCGTTGTCGCAGCGCTGCCGCCGCCGCTGTCGTCGCAGCGCCGCCCCCGTCTTCGTCGTCGTCGTCGTCGCAGCGTTGTTGCCGCCGTCTTCGTCGCGCAGCGATGCCGCCACCGTCGTCGTCGCAGCAATGCCGCCGCCGCCGTCGTCGCAGCGCTGCCCCCGTTGTCATCGTCGTCGTCGCAGCGCCCGTCGCTGTCGCAGTGCCGCCGTCTTCTCCCCTCCGCTCCTTTGCTGCTGCTGCTGCTGCTGCTGCATCTGAGGGGAGAGAGGAGAGTGCTAGGAGAGAGCATATTGGACCAAAGTGCAACTAAGTCATTTTACAACGGAATGGTGTGAAGGATGCGATAAAGTTTAACTATGGCAGAGAGATGCTTGAATATTTTAGTGATACAGAGACAAGCACCATCTTTCTTAATGGCATTTAGGGAAAAACCTCCCAAGGGAGAGGGCACAGGCGGCGGCGACGGTGGCAGCATCCTCCAATGGCGGGCAACGACCAACGGGTGATATTGGTTGGAGACGGCGGCGCTCGCGGGCCGCCGCTGTCCAATGCGCCGCGCCATGGAGATCCCCACCACCGGCCGACCTCATCCTCGCCATCTCTCTCCGCTGCCTGGTTGCCAGACCTAGCCAGCCTCCCCTCGGCTCGTCAGCCCCCTGCGGCCCCGCCTCGACGCCCCTCCTCTGCCGGTCGGCTTCAGGCTCGACGACGCCCCAAGATCCAGTCTCCACGAGCTCTGCCCGAGAGTGTCAGACCTTCAGCGTCGCGTCTGTACATCCGCCGGGCGCCGGCTGAGAGCGTCCATCCCAAATCATTTTTGCTGTCGTTATTGTTCAACTGGAATTGTTCTCATGATTTTGTTGCCAGCCTAGGTGAAATAGAGCAATGCTACACGTACTAAATTTTTCTTACTAAACTTTTACTAACAATCATCTCAACCGTTTAATTTAAATATATAGAAGTTACAAAAAAAAAATCTAAATGCACTCATAACATGACACATCAGTGTTAGTAAGAATTTAATAAAAAAAAAGTTAGTACGTATAGCCTTTTCCGGTGAAATACATCCACCGCAGCAGTCGACAATCGATGCCGTGTCTGGATCCGCTCGTCTCCATCGGCAACGTCGCCTCTCGGTCAATCTCCACCGTTTCAGGTTTGCAGTCAACAAGCGCATAATAGGAGCGTTTCAGGTTTGCAGTTTCAGAGTGCCAACATCCCGCTTTTACTTGCTTCATGTTTGTAATAGTTTCATATTTGCAGTTTGATTCTAAACTACCCAAATCTTTTCCACTGCAATCGATGACTGATTTTCTTAGACATCTGTAGATGTCTCTTCACACCATATAATCCTTGATAAAATTGCTTGGATCTCATTACAAACGGTTCAAAGTGATTTAATCTCAGAATTTTAGGATTATGTTTTTTAAATGTGCACGTGCTCCATTATGCACATTTTGTGCTATTTTCTTTGTTTGATCAATTCATGGGTGTTGAAGCTCTGCTTGTTTCCATGTTAAAAACTAGAGTTCATCTATTTATTAAGAAATCCTAGTTTTATCAGTATTAATTTGGTCAAATTTGAGTGCATTAAATTGGAACAGATGGGAGTACATATTCAGATGCTATCAGATAACATCATTATACTTTGGGCAGGTATAAAAACAAATGAACAGTGGCCAGAATTTCGAATTTGAGCTCCAAAAAAAATATTAATGGATTTGGTGCCTGCGTCAGGTTTCAGGCTTGGATTTGTCCGGACGAGCTCTCTACGACTGATGATCGGCTGGCTCCGGCGGCATACGATGGAAGAATCTTGGCGACTAATGTCCTCTGCATTGTGATTTTTTGGACGATGAGTGTGTGTTTGTAACGGTGATGGCATGACCAATTACACGTGTACAGTAAAATATTTACTGACTATATATCAGGCCTGATGACTGCTCCCTCCGTCCCACAAAAATTCGATTCCTAGGGTCGATCGTTTGTCCCACAATAAATCGATTTCTATGCCAGAGATTGAGAAACACTAATTGCATCTTTATCATTTGCCCTGTGTTGTCTTGTCCACCACCCACCAGGTGAATTAAAAAGAAATGAAATCACCGTATCATCTCCAGTGAAGGGAGGCTTTCAGGAAGTAGTTTGGCACGAATTTCACATGAACTTTTTTTTAATGAAAAGTGCTAATCGTGGTTGTACTTAATGAGGGTGTTTTGGTCCTTTGTTGCTTGGACTAAAACTGCATCAGGCATCAGGCTTCTAGGGTTCGACTTTATCTGGGATGGAGGAAGTATGTTGTAATTTTTCTACTCATGTAAGGCTGTGTTTAGTTCCTGAAAATAGTTGAAAGTTTAGGGAAAGTTAGGAGTTCATGTGTGTAGGAAAGTTTTAGATGTGATGTGATATGATGAAAAGTTGAAAATTGGGAGTGAACTAAATACGGCCTAAGTAAGGTCCAGTAACTTTGTACTCCCTTAATGATTGGATGATACTAATACATGTCAGTAACTCTTTTACTCCCCTTCACGACTGGATGATTCTAATACATGTGAGCATTCAAGTGATTGTAGTAAAATAATTACTAAAGGGACTTTCTTAAGGCTCACGGCCACTGTGAGGCTCAATTAAGTATAGTAAAAACATGTCATGGTAAATATTCTTGCGAGTAAAAATATTACTAAAAGGTATTAAACTTATGAAAATACCTAGGAGTAAAAATATTACGAGTTGATCAGCCTGGATTTTTCACATTTTGGTCCTTTTGAAAAACTTATTTCGCAAATAGACCCCTGAAAAAACTTATCCCAGAAATGGTCCTTTTTGGGGCGCCAGAGTAGCTGGCGCCGTCATCCAACGGGTCTGGCGCCGTCCTCCTGCCACCGTGGCGCACGCGAACCGACGTGGCAGGAGGGAGGGCGCCAGCCATGCTGGCGCCGCCCCAGGGAGGAGCCGCCGCCTCTATTCCTGTTTCTCTGTATGGAGTTGCAACGGTGTCATTTTTATTTTATTTTTTCGGATGTTTTTTCACACTCAGGATCACGATACAACCAACCACAAAAAAAATTTAAACTCAAACTACCACTTAGCTAAGTCTGAAAATATCTAGCATACCACTTAGTCTACTTTGCACCTTCACTAAAATTAGACCATAACTCCTTTAGTAAAACCCTTTGATCAGCATGTTAAACATAATGCACTCTACCACTATATGAAATTACTTAATCTAATTCAAAATATAACCACATGAAATGACATATAAGTTAAACAGTACATAGAGATGCAATTTTTTTATTTTTATTTCATTTTTTTGATATTTTTTTCACACTTAGGAGAACATAGGAACCAAACGGACAAAATATGTGACATGTATAATTTTCCAAAACTCTACCGAAACGGACAAAATATGTCATCTATTAAAATAGGCGTAACTTTCTCATACGGACTCGGAATCAGGCAAATAATATATGCACGGACATCTACAGAAAAAGTTACATCCGATTCTCCCCCGCTTTGCCGGGTTCGGCGATATTAAAACCTCCAAATTCCGCTTGCAAGATTGTGTTTTCGAGGAGAGAAGTTTTTCGATGGAGCTTTGGAAAATTCCACATGCCACATATTTCGTCCGTTTGAGTTTATTTTTTACATGGTTGGTTCCTGTGAGTTTCTAAGTGTGAAAAAAATATCAAAAAAATAAAATAAAAATAAAAAAGTTGCACATCTCTCTCCTCTGCACTAGTTCGGAGAGAAGAGAGGAGAGGAAAAATTCTACATGTCACATATTACGTCCATTTGAGTTCAATTTTTCTATGGTTGGTTCTTGTGTGTCCCTAAGCGTGAAAAAAATATCAAACAAATAAAACAAAAATAAAAAATTTCGGGGGGGGGGGAGGGGATGGGGGGGAGCGAGCCACTCTGGCGCACTCCCCCTAGCCACCTCAGCATCGCCCCGCCACGTCGGCAGGGGGACGGCGCCAAAGAGACTGACGCCGTCCTGTTGAACGACGGCGCCAGCCACTCTGGCGCCCAAAAAGGACTATTTTTGGGATAAGTTTTTCTTGGGGTCTACTTGCGAAATAAGTTTTTCAAAAGGACCAAAATGTGAAAAATCCAGGTTGATCAGCTCCTGATCAACTGAGCAGTTAAAATTTTACCAGATGCCATCTATCACTATTAATTTAAGTAGGTGCCATCTAGCACTATTAGTATAAATATTACTATCAGTAATGGGTTTGCTAAAGGGTACTAGTGGCGGTGGGAACGGAAAAAAAGGGATGGGAGGGGGGGGGGAGTGGGGTGGGGGGCCGACCCGGGTGGGGTGGGTGCAGGGGGTGGGGGATATGTGAGGGGTAGTGTTTTATTTATTGCGCATCCTAGGTGTGTTTTAGTGCATCTCTGTATAGTACTATTATACTTTTTTTGCGTTGCTACAATGTACTTGTAATAATCATAATGAATTCTCTTTATTGAGAAGTATAATTGATTTCTTTCAATTCGGCCGAATAGACTCTTCTAAAATATTCCCAATACCATAACTTAGTACTAACTAGAAACACAACATGCGCCAGCCCAATTAGGCCAAATAGAGGTATTCCCTGTTACATTTATATGAACAGGAGAGAATGGCAAAAAAAAATAAAAATCACAACAAAATACATGCTACTATACATGAAAAAAGAAACACAACGCGGCTTTGTCGCGCGGAAGTGTACATGCACCAGCCCAATTGGACCAAATAGAGGTATTCCCTGTTACATTTATATGAACGGGAGAGAATGGCAAAAAATGCCAAGTAATGGCATGACTATTTTCGATGAATTTTCTGCACTAAGTAAGAAATGTCAAAGTTAGTACATCAGTAGTGATAATACCATATGCTAATAATACATTGCAAATAAAAATGGTATCAATGAATAGCTATAACAGAACTAAAAGAACAAATTCATGATACAGATCATCAAGCATAAACCTTTAGCCTTTTGCAGCCCGAAAAGAATCCCTTTGGCTATCAACTATTATCAAGCACACCATATAGTAGCATCAAAAGGGATAAAAAATTGGACCAACAAAATGGCTGCAAAGTGGAAAATGGAAAAGGGGATAACAAATTGAAATATGCTTTTTTTTTAATCTCCAGAGGCACAGGTGGTCCTAAACGAAGAACAGCACCATCTAAATTTCATGATACCCTAAGTATAAAAAGGTATCTAAGTTATAACCTTATAATTTTCATGAACAGCAAAAGTGATTTGGCCTTCCATTCTTGGAAGTACAATGTGTGCAACATTGATCGAGTAACTGGCAATAAGAAAGAGAGAGAAATCAATGCAAGAAAAATCTTTGTTACTGCCTTACTGGTAGTAAGGAATATTTTCTGCTGGCAGTCGTGCAAAATTGTAGTGCTGATTTTCTGTACCGATGAGATTTACTGCCTTACTGGTAGTAAGGAGCATGTTTTTTCTAAGTTGCTAAATAAACATGTTTTCATCTAGACCAGCATGGTTCATGCTAGCATATTATAAGGGATATGTTTCTCAAGTATACCATGCAAAATTAATTTCACTCAATCATACAACCCTAAGGGACAATGATTTGATTAAGGTAATGAACGACCAAAATTGTGCGTGGATCGGAGAAGAGGACGATCAATTTTAATTACCTTGAGGCTGGAAGAATCTGAGAGCGAACTTGTTGCGCTCCAAGACCAGCTTCTTGTCTACCGTGAGTGTGTCAGTGGTATGCAAACGCAGTCAAACAGAGATAAAGTACATAAACTTCTTTTTTCATAACCAAACTCGCATTCTTGAATGCAAGAAGGCGCTGCTGGAAGAGCAGGAATCGTTCATCGTACATGTTGTCATGACAAACCATCAGAACATGTCGAAACATGAATTCGGCAATAATAAAACGGGGTAGCGCACGAGACCTAAAAGTGGATGGATGTGGAGACAAAGGATTTAGACAGGTTCAGGCCCTCTCAATGAGAGGTAATACCCTACTCCTGTTTGGGGATTTGAATCCGCCGGGTGTATTATAGATCTGACGATCTAGTTGTCTCATGCCCCCTAGAGGGCCTCCTGCCCACCTTATATAGGGTGGGGGGCAGGATTACAAGATAGAAACCTTAACCAATACGGTATCGGTTTCCTAAATCTACTTTACAATATTATCAAACCAGGACTTTAGGCTGTTCCGTAATATATAAGGAAACGTAATACCCGAGTCATGATCTATTACATATTCCATAGATATAAGTTATCCCCTATGACTAGTCGGATAACCATGCCGTATGGGTATGGGGTACCCATAATATCCACAGTAGCCCCTGAGACCTTCGCAGTCGAAAAGATAATCTTCTCTCGAACCAGATTACTCCAAAGCCGAGTGCTTCAATCATCTTTATCATGGTCTTCCGAGTACTTTTACCAAATCTGAAGACTGTGGAGGGCTGGAAAATAAAGTCAGGTGCACCGACTAGATGCACCTAATAGGTGTAGCCCCCGACAATGTGGTTAATTGAACAAACCAAGCATATAGTCAAGGAATAAATAATCCAACCAACCGAGTGGTTTTGATAATCGTAATCAACCAAGTGACTTGATATCAATATATAGCATATGCGGTGTGAATCCTCCAAATAACATGATCCGAGTGATATACCAACTGCTTTGTAAAATATGATGAGTGATATAGCAAAATAGCTATAAAGAAGCTTGTATATTGTGAATAAAGAAATTTCCAAAGTATTGGGCATACGCCATGCGCACACTGCTTTAACAGATGTGCTTAAGTCCCTAGAAGACACATGGTTTCACCACACCTGGAAATATATGGCATATGTGGTGTAAAATCCGAGTAAATAAACTCATAAAGGATTTACCAACCGCCTAGAAAATGACCACAATATATAATCAGCCTAAGCCATAATATTGGTCAATAAAAATGCACACTTACGTGGCGAAAAGCAATGATATTGTATCCAATCAATTGCTTAAAAACCCAAACAGCACCTTGACTTATATATAAAAAAGTCAGCGGGACAGCTATATAAAGCTTTACTGTTTGACACCTTTTAAGATGCATTGTACCAACTCCTAAAAAGTTAAGTAACTGCGGTATAAAAGGATTTTAAGGTATTGG